TCATGGGCAGTTCTTCTCAGCTCTATTCAGTTGTTATTCATCCTCTTAATATCTGATTCTATTTCCCGACGTAATGTGTTTATTGGTCTTCATCCCTTCCTCTTCCCTTAAGGATCCCAAGATAAGGCTTGTCTCATGATGCAGTTTGGTGATTTCTATGATGTATGTCCTATTCATTTCCATCATCTTTTCCTAATTTTCTATTCATTTGAAAGTTGGTTTGTACTCTTCCACAGTAGCCTGCTGCTGATAGTATTCGGCCAATTGATGTTGAGTATCTTATGTAGACAATTGTTTATAAATACTTATACCTTCTTGATGATGGTTGTATTGGTTCTTCACGTTTCAGCTCTATACAACAGAACTGTCTTGACGTTTTTATTGAAGATTGTAACTTCGATACTGGTTGACAGACAGTTATTTTGAGTTCCATATATTCTTCAATTGTAGGAATTCAGCGCTTGCTTTTCTAATCCTCAACTTTACGTCTGCATCTGATTCTCCTTGTGCATCGATGATGTTTCCCACGTACGTGATGTATTCTACATCTTTTAGGGCTTATCCGTCAACTGTGATTGAGTTGGTCTTCTCCATGTTGTATTTGAGAATCTTGCTTTTTCCCTTTATGTAAATTGAAGCCTACGGATACAAAAGGTGCTGCTACCATGAATACACTATATCTCATTTAATTATCATAATTAACTTTTCATGTTCACAGTTTTCTTCTTTTTTTTCTTTCTCTTCTTTCCTTTTCTTTTTTTTAATTTTATTCTCTAAACACAAAAACAAAAATACGTTTACTTACATCACTCAATGTCAATAAAATGTGCAGACAAATAAAAGAAAAAAAACGAAAAAAAGAGAGAAGAAAAGAAAGAAAAATGGATTTTACTGATTAACAAAACGGAAATGAAGTGATTTTATATATAAAAAGATACATCAAAGTGTATCATAATTAAATCAGAAGTAGTATATATTGTTTATAGACTTACTGCAATATATACTACTGATATCGATAGATATAAGTAGTATGTATCATTAATCGAAAATGAAATGTGTAGTAGTATGAGAACAGACAGTGATTGATAAGGGAAACGAAGGGAGATTAAAGTCTGAAACGATAGATTGAAGTATTTACTGTATGATTCTGTAATAGTGTATTCTGGTACATTCGATTGCTCCCATTTGTGTACTTATTCATTACATTACTATTATGAATGTTTATTAAACAAGATGAAAGAAATCTGAACAGTAAATAAGATGTATGTTTGTCTAGTTAGTAGCAGTATAGTATATTGTATAGTAGTGATTTGAATGCAAATATATTCTTCAGATAAATATTTACTTAATTCATTATGTACATAAGGAAGATAATGTTTCTGTATGTTTCTATGTGTAATCTTAATATTGTTTTTGAAAAAGTGACAAAATGAAAGACTTCATTACATTTGGTATTGTTGTTTACTTGAATCTTCCGATTGATGATTAACACTGTCATGCATCATTCTCTTGTTGGCATATGTCAATCCTGTACGAAATTCCTCAATATTGCTACAAGTCACAAGGATTATAAACAATGATGGATAGTGAATAGTAGTTGAATCCAGGAGACTCGTCAAGTAGGGTGTAACTGCATATCAGAGTTGATGTTCACTTTGGGACTCGAACCCAATACTATTCACTCTAAATAACTTCATATTGATGTTTGAATTTCGATAAGAATAGTGAATGGTAACTTTTGGGATCCATTTATGGATCAATACTATACATATATTTCTACTGTGTAATTGTTAAATTACTAAACTATTCATATTCATAGTCCTTTTATTATAAGCTTTATTTTGACTATCCTTGAATTATTTCCTGTCTACTAATCACTAAACTCTGCCTGTAGCTCTCCTAGAGTTACTGCCGGTCCCAAGCCCGGGTAAAGGAGGAGGGTTGGACATGAGGCTAGCGTCCCTATCCCGTAGAAGACTAACTCGCTAAAAAAACGCTAACCAGAAAACAAAATACACAAAGGGAAAACCAACGTCCTCAAACACAACACGGAGAACAGTAATCCAATCAATCTTGATGGCGAAACTCTGGAAGATATAGAATCCTTCACATGCCTGGGAAGCATCGTCGATGAACAAGGAGGTTCAGATGCAGACGTAAAGGCTAGGATTGGTAAAGCAAGGGCCGCATTCCTTCAATTAAAGAACATATGGAACTCAAAACAACTTTCAACCAATATCAAAGTCAGAATCTTCAATACGAACGTCAAGGCAGTTCTACTGTACGGAGCTGAAACGTGGAGAACTACAACAACCACCATCAAGAAGGTACAAGTATTTATCAATAGCTATCTACACAAGATACTCAACATCCATTGGCCGGATACCATCAGCAACAGCCTTTTGTGGGAGGAAACCAACCAGCTTCCCGATGAAGAGGAAATTAGGAAAAGACGATGGAAATGGATAGGACATACATTGACGAAATCATCAAACTGCATTACGAGGCAAGCGCTAACTTGGAATGCTGAAGGGAAGCGGAAAAGAGGAACACTAAAGAACACATTACGTCAGAAAATAGAAGCAGATATAGATAGAATGAATAACAACTAGAAAGAGCTGGAAAGGATTGCACAGGACAGGGTTGGATGGAGAATGCTGGTAAGCGGCCTATGCTCCTTCACGAAGAGTAACAGGCGAAAGTCCAAGTCCAAAGTCCTATTAATCACTAACTCCCCATTCACAGTCACTTTTGGCCAAATCCTGTACTAATGTTATTTCCCATTTTATGGTACAGTGTGGTCTGTCTGGTTGGTATATCAACCCAGTATTTTTAAAATAAATGGTTCATATTGCAGAGTCTGAGATTGGTGTTCTGAACTTAACTAGCTGGGCTAGACAGAAAGTAGGACCAATTAGTACCCTAGACTGTTCAGACGGTTTTACGCGTCATTGGTCCGATCGATAATTCATTGCTCTCTAATTGGTGGTGTCATCACTGATACATTAACAGGGCACACAGGTGACAAGTTATAACAGGATTGCTATGGTTTCTGAAAATCCTTGTCCAATTACATAACTTCTACTCTATTTTTCAATCCATAAAGAAAGTTTTTAATTATTGAAAGTTTTTATGAAAACCGATAATTTTTATAAATGAAATAACTGACCGACTTTACCTGAGCAACCATCAATAAAACAGCACTCAGTAGACAGTTAATTCATCTGATTATAGTACTACATAGAGGTGTACACCCACCACCTTCTATTAGATCGAAAGTAGAACATTCACTTCTCACTTTACTTTAACTTGTTTACTTATACCTGTTGCTTCAAGTGGAGCATAGGCCATCGATCATCATTCTCCAACCCATTCTGTTCTGATCTTTCCTTTCTAGTTCTATCCAATCGTTGTTCATTCTTCTCATGTATGTCTTCATTTCTTTGATCTGCCTCTTCTTCTTTGGCCTTGAGGTTCCAGCTAAGCAGTAATGGGCCGGGCCAGTACTTGCACTTTATTCTGAACCGTACACTATAAAAACCATGCGGAAATTCATTGATTCTAACATCGATCAGTATGAAATATCAGGAAATCATCATTGTTGACGTCGGTGACACTTGTCTCATTCCCATCCTAGTTTGAAATCATCAGTTAAATTATTAGAATCCATTTTGGAAAATAAGCTATTCATACTGATAGTCTGAATTCAATCTGTGAAAGTATCTTTTAAATGAATAATGTTCCAAGAATATTCAGAATACTACTATGTGGTGTATACTACTTATGTCAACACATAAGTAGTATGTAACATCAATCGAAAATGAAAGAAGGCCTGACAGCTTAACTTTGAGAAAATCGAATCAAAGAGAACGAGAAAAGAGAGTGATTGATATAGAAATGGGGGAACAATCAATTCTGAAACATTCTACATTCTACAAATGAAGTATTAAACGTATGGTATTCACCATCCATCATATAACTCTATAATTTTATATCCTGGTACATTTGGGTATCCTGTGATGTGTGCTACTGATATCGTCAGATATAAGTAGTATGTTGTTCGAACTTATGACCTGTGTGCCCTGTTAATCTACAAGTAGTGACACCACCAATTAGAGAGCAGTGAGTTATCGATCGGGCCAATGGTGCATAAAACCCTTACGAGGAGTCTAAAGTACTTATCGATTCTGCTTCCTGCCTAGCTCTGCCTGCCTGGTGATTCCAGAACACTAATCTCAGCTTCCAAGATATGAATGATGTATTTCAAACATATTGAGTTTATATGCAAGCCAAACAGACCATATCGTACCATAAAATAGGAAACAACATTTGTACAAAATTTGGCCAAATATGGCTGTGAATGTGGGAGGTAGTAATTAATGGACAGGGCCTAATTCTAGAATGGTAAGTTGTATAATCATAGTTCGTAGGGCAAAATAAAGCTTATAATAAGAGGAATATGAATATGCAGATAGTTAAGCTACCTAACAGTTATACGATAAACAACTATATGTATAGTATTGATCCATAAATGGATCCCCAAAATTACCTATTCATTATTCTTATCGGGACATACCATATGTAGCACCACTCGAAAATGGAATATCTGACGGCATAAGTTAAAGAAGATCGACCATAAGACAACAAGAACAAAGAATGCTTGATGTGTGGACGTGCGAACAATCAATTCACAGATGGTTGATTGACATTTTTTGCAACTAAACTGTTGAATGTATGGTATTCACTATTTATCAAATAACTCTGTAATTATATAGGCTGTTACATTTGATTAACCTGTGATGTGTACTACTGATATCGACCGATATAAGTAGTATGTGACATCAATCGAAAATGAAATGTCTGACGGCAGAACTTATAGAAGATCAACCACAAGACAACGAGAACAATGAATGCTTGATGTGAAAACGAAGGAATAATTATGTCTAAGACAATGGATTGCATCATCATATAACTTCCTTTACTTTTTCCTTTTATTTTAGATGAAACCTTAAATAAAATGGATTCAGAAAATCGTGTTATTTTAAATGTTGGCGGTATTCGTCATGAAACTTATAAAGCTACATTGAAAAAGATACCAGCAACACGTTTATCAAAATTAACTGAAGCATTAGCTAATTATGATCCTGTATTAAATGAATATTTTTATGATCGTCATCCAGGTGTATTTTCACAAATATTAAATTATTATCGTACTGGTAAACTTCATTATCCTGTTGATGTATGTGGACCATTATTTGAAGAAGAATTAGAATTTTGGGGTTTAGATGCTAATCAGGTATGAATTGATTTGTTTATCGTTTTTTATTTTATTATAAGACAATATTTGCGGAGGGAGGGGGCTAAACTGATACCTTGGATGTCAGCTCAATGGTTTAGAGATTAGACGTTCGTGCGCGTACACTGAAAGTCCTGGGTTCGAATCCTGCGGGTAGAGTCGTGGATACACACTCCACAGAAGCTATGTGCGAGGACGAAACAGCCGTCTAGTGCTTTCAGGTTATCAATGATGGTCTAACATCAATCGATTCATGATGTCAATCACAAAAATATTATCTCTTACGGAATAGCGGTTGTTAACCTATCACTTAACACTTTTCTTTTAATATCAGAAAAGGGTTTTTGTAGATATTAGATTAATTTCAATAGTTGAATTCATGAGCCAGTTGAAGTGAGATCACCATGGAAAACCTGGAAGCATTAGACGGCCGTTTCGTCCTTTTGTTTGGATTGGTAGCCTGTAGTAACCATAAAAACACTGTATTAAATTGCATTTTCTGATGATTGTAAATGAATGATTTAAAAAAATAGTGTTGACTATAGAAAGTCTGATTTGTTAAGAATAAGACGGATGTGTCACATCACCTCCCTTAATGAACAAAGATGAATAATAAAATATAGAACCCTATATAATCTCTGGAGGTATGAATAAAGAAATTGTATTTTGACAAAGCCCAGAAGACAGTTGAATGGAGAATCCTGGTGAGCGGCCTATGATCCTGCATGAGGGATAACAGGCGTAAGTAAATATTTTAGCGAAAATCCGTAGGTAGAGAGGAGATGAATCGTATTAGGTGAGTACTGTATGAATTACAGAATATTAAAGTATAGATGATAGGAGATACAACCCAATCATATTTAAAAATACCTTCGAATATAGTCAAAAAGATCACAGAAATAAAGTTCTCTCATGGACCTGGTGATCCTGGGTTTGACTCCCGGGTTCAGAATTATCGATGCCAACTAATAAAGAGTCCAATGCTAAGACGGAATAACTTTCCCGTGCTATGGAAATTCTACAACCTTCACATATCTCTTATACTACTCATTAGTGACTAGCACAATGATACACAACTGGAGTTCAAGTGAGACTTGTGCAAGTGCCTATATTCTTTTGACAACGCTCTAAATCACTTCGTTCACAATGAAACCCTACATTCACTTTTCAACACTTCTTCTATTTGTCATACAAACTCTTATATCTAACCATTCCTACATCAATTTGAATATTACCCTGTAGAATTCCATATAATTCTCTCTTCTTGAATTCAATAAAACCATTGAATTTAACTTATGACCTGGATTCTTAAATATATTACTTACTTACTTACTTACGCCTGTTACTCCCAATGGAGCACAGGCCACCGACCAGCATTCTCCAACCCACTCTGTCCTGGGCCTTCTTTTCTAGTTCCATTCAATTCTTGTTCATTTTTCTCATATCTATCTCCATTTCTCGGCGTAATGTGTTCCTTGATCTTCGTCTCCTCCCTTGGCCTTGAGGATTCCATGTGAGGGCTTGTCTTGTGACGCAGTTGGGTGCTTTCCTCAATGTGTGTCCTATCCACTTCCAACGTTTCTTCCTGATTTCTTCCTCCACTGGGATCTGATTTGTTCTCTCCCAAAGTAGGTTGTTGCTAATGGTGTCCGGCCAACGGATCCGAACTATTTTGCGTAGACAAATGTTAATGAACACCTGTGTCTTTTGGATGATGGCTTTCGTAGTTTTCCAGGTTTCCGCCACATACAGTAGAACTGTCTTGACATTTGTATTGAAAATTCTGATTTTGGTGTTGGTTGCCAATTATTTTGAGTTCCAGATATTCTTCAGTTGTAAATATGCTGCTCTTGCTTTGCCAATCCGTGCCTTCACATCTGCATCAGATCCACCGTGTTCATCGATTATACTGCCCGCCTGGAGTCCCTTTCGGGGGGCTACTGCCGGTCCCAAGTCCGGATAAAGGAGGAGGGTTGAGCATAGGGTTAGCGACCCCATCCCGTAGAAAAATAACTCGCTAAAAAAACGCTAACCAGAAAAAAATTAAATATATTACATAAATAAAAATACAAACTACTAGTAGAATGTCTGAATAGAACTAATGTTGATTTAAAATTTATCAATGTCATATATGAGTTTATTATTTGTGTTTTCTTAGAAATATTTAGTTACCGTGGTAACTGTCAGGTTTTGTTTTTGAATTGAACAAAATTCGTTGTTTATTAATAATAAACGAGGTTCATATTTAGTTAGACGGCTATAATCATTTAATTTGCTAGTGTCCGTTTAACTTCATGCTATTGCACAAGCAAGTGGCTATCCGGACTCAGTAGCTAAATGGATAACATGATAGTGTTTGATGCGAACGATACTGAATTCGAGTCCTGGAGTGAACAACATCTATGAGATACAGGTACATCCAGAACGAAACATGTGTCAAACTGAATACCACCGCTAACCATTAGTCATCTTTGCTTATAATGTTCGTCCAACCGGTTTAATAAATTAATTGTTAGGTGATGATCTGGAGTTGTGAAATTAGGTTTCAAACAAGTTTACACATATTGTTAACATGTATCTATCATTATAAAATGATAACAGTAGATTCTTGGATTTGAATCTATGCTGCATAATATCACAAACGAAATTGTTCTTTCGATTCCACATCAATCATCCTCTGTTGTAGTTCTCTTCTCTTCGAACTTCTGAACCCTCTTCCACTAGATTTTTCTTTTTCAATCAATGAAACATACTACTTATATCTGAAGACATCGGTAGCACAAAACATACCATGATTAATGAATTTGGAATTGATATTATTGTCCGTTAAGTTCATTATATAACCAATCATCATAAATATATACATAGTCAACCAGGTCTGTTGTTAGATAATAATTCACAGGTGGATGTGTTACTCGATTTCGTGGATTAGTTGGATAATGTCTAACTCAGTAGTCTAGAGGTTAAGCGCTCGTGCGAGACCGACCGATCCTGGATTCAAATCTCATGAGGCAGGATCTTGGATGTGCACTGCCACTGTAGAGTAACACAATAAGACGAGATGGCCATCCAGTGCTTTGAAGTTTTTCATGGTTGTCTAACTTCAATTGACTTATGATTTCAAATATTGAAACTCCTATAATATCCACAAAAAACACTTGATATGCTCAACAGAAATGATCTCCAAGAGGTATTTCCTAGAGTTCCATTGAAAATCAGTGACCAGTGGAATTCAACTGGTTCTATTTTGAGATAGTAACTCAGCGAAAACAATGGTGAATATGTCGTGGTCTAGGGGTTAAGCGCTCGCACGCGAGATTCATATATCCTAGGTTAAAATCTCATGAAGCAGGATATGCACTACCACTGAGTAGTCCCACAATAGGATGAGACAGTCATCCAGTGCTTCGAGGTTTCCCATAGTGATCTCACTTTAATTAACTTCTAATCTTAACTATTAAAATAACTATATGACTACCAAATCAATTCTATTTATTATCATCAAATAGATATACAAAATTTATTAAATTTATCTCATTATCATTATCTTATTTATTCAGTTATTAGTTATAATTCTCCATTAGTCGAAATAATGTAACAAAATTTTGTCAGTTATGTAACAATCAAAATGTAATCGTTTTTGTTTTTTTTTTGTTTTGTTTTTTCTCGTGTTATTTTTTGCTTTTTTCTTTTTTGTGTTTTTTTCTTTTTTTTCTTTTTTTGTTTTTTTTTTGTTTTTTCGTTGTTTTTTTTCCCTTCAAAAATTCAGATCCTATTTCACCATTATATAAACATAAATTCTTATTTTAAAATTTCAATAGTTCAATATTTTTTTAAATAAAACATATGGTTCATATATAAAAAAAGTTGTGAATAGAGCGCGCGCGTGTGTGTGCGTGTGTGTGAGAGAGAGAGAGGGAAAAAGAAAAAAAAACCCGCCAAAATGTTTTGGTCTATTTTAAACAAACTCTATAACAGTAAAGATATTGAAACATTTAAACAAAATTTTTATTTTGTTTATTTATAGGGTTGTGTTGTTTTTTTATTCTCTTTTGTTTTTCTTTTTTTTTTCTTTTAAATTTTATTCTAAACAGATTGTTATGAAATTTTATGTACTACTTATTAGTATTATAGGAATATATATTTATATTATTAGTTGAATTCATGAGTTGATTAATAGGGAGACCACCATGAAAAATCTGAAAGTACTAAATGGTCTGTTTGTTCTATTGTCGAACTCTTCAGTGGCAGTGTACATCCACGATCCCACCTCATAAGATTCGAATCCAAGATCTGTCGATCTCGCTTAATCTATAGACCATTGAGCTAGCTGATATCCAATGGTGTTCATGTTTAATTTTAATTTATCTATGAAATTGAGTGACATATTCATCATTGTCATCAATAAGTTACTATCTCACAATTGATCCGTTTGAACTCCACTAGTTAATAGAATTCTATGAAATACCTCGTGGAAACCGTTAATACTGAGCATATGTTGAATAGTATATATATATATATATATATATATATATATATATATATATATATATATATATATACAGAGAGAGAGAGCGAATTCATAAATCGATCCAAGTAAGACCACCATTGAAAACTTGAAAACATTAGATGGTTGTTTCGTTCTAGTATCTGGTCTAAGTTAAATCAAAATTGGGAAACTAGAAGAGATGAACTATCGTTCCATATTAAGATGAGGCCTTTCGGTACTACGCGTCTACGAACTCACAACGGGGGATCGAACTCAGAGGTTATGGTTTGATGCACATATGTTTAACTTCTACACTACTAAGTATCTAGTGGTGAACAAGTCTAACCTCAATCAATTTATAATCTTTCGCAGACATTTTTCATTGAGTAAGATGGATAGCTATCTTATATGTGTTAAGACTGGACCCAACTACTAAAACGTTCTCACTAGAACTCTGCGAATTTCATTTTGGAGTTAATTACTACTAAGTACACTATACTTTTCACTAGTGGATTCATAAAGACTGTTACATATTACTTACATTCCTACTCAAACTGATTGAATTTAGACTTGTGGATTACTAAATGCTAGCTCAGTAGTCTAGTGCTTAAGAGTTCATGAGTAAGACTGATGGTTCTGAGCTCGATTCGAAATTGGAATATCATGGATCCTTACTGCTTCATATATATATATATATATATATATATATATATATATCTTTGTTGAGATCAAAGACTGTAAGTGATCAGCCTCTATTAGTATATGTGCGTTTTGTGAGGATTGCCTCAATATCACTATCGAATCACAAATTTTTACTAAAGAATCGAAGATACTCATTTCATTCTATTTGGAATTCTTTAGATAGATTCCATTGTTGATATTTGAAGTGGAACTCGAACCCAGTATATCAATTATCAAACTGGAATTACGTAGGAGATGATAACCTTAGATACCGATTTCCTACTAGCCGGCACTCATTATCAAAGAGATAGACTCAATAAGATTCAAATTCATGTCATCCAACATCAAACTCTAACACATTACCACTCGTCTATTGTTCATATGATTCTTTATAGAACTAATAAGATACAATGACTGATCATTCAGTAGTAATCAACTACTTCTTACTAATCATTACAATTCCTTTGAATCACTTTCTTTTCTAATCAGGTTGAACCATGTTGTTGGATGACTTATACAGCACATCGTGATACCCAGGCTACTTTACAAATTTTAGACAAAGTTGATATGGATAATGATGATTATACACCAGAGACTTTATATAAACGTTTTGGTTTAGAAGATGAATATACATGTAATGAATTGAATACTTGGCAAAAATATCGACCAAAAGTATGGGCATTATTTGAATTGCCACATTCATCAATTGGAGCAAAAGTGAGTAGTTTATACTAACCATTTAAAAAAAAAGAAAAGAAACAATCTTCAATTTAAATCTTCTCTGTATATTTTAGAAATATAAACCCCTGTGCAAAGGTTAAACATTTACCGCTGAACTTAATCATGTTGGATTTGGTACAGAGGGGTATCGCGGATACAGGTTGCTGAGGAGCTTAAAAATGGGATGAGACAATTGTCTGGTGTTTCCTAGTTGTTAAACACATGTCATTTTGTCATTTAAGATCATATCGTAAAATATGTAAGACGGAAATTCTTTGTTTTTCAGTTAATTATCCTCTTAAACACCTTTGGTAAGCTGTAGACTATAAAGATACGCATATTTTCGGTAGTATTTAGTCCTCTGAGCTGGACGGTTCAATTGTGGACCTTTGACTGTCATGTTGGATAACATCTTGATCGCTTACTTCAGATAAGAAGAAAATCATGACATCATTTACAAAATTAACTGCATTAGCTATGAGGAGTATTACATTGAATCAAGTAGGCGTTTTCTTCACTTACTCATAAAAGAACATAGATTAGCAGTGATGCAACATGATATACCATAACTAATATCAATGATGAACGGTATGACGTCATTATTATTTTACCTGAAAGGTTATTGAAATTCTCTTAAAAATGTTATTACACAGCTATATGTAATATTAATGATAATAATTTGCATAGACTACTTAAATGGTGAAATTGAAGAGCTTTCGTTGTCATTCTAGACAACATCTTCAGCACTTACGTCATACGGAAGAGAACTTTCTTGTTATTTCATATATGTCGTATCAGTTCATTCAGACGAGCTTGTTTGTGATCGATTGTCTTGGTAGATTTTATTGACTTCATTTAACTTTGTTATTCAAGTTGACTATGGTTGTTGATTAATCACTGGTCAAGTGATCTATTGATCCTTTCCATTGGATGTATGTTGTTGTGTTCATTCATTGATTGTTATTTGATCTCAACAGCACACTTTCAGAAATTCTTTACTGTTCTTGAATTGTTCTTGATCTATATACTTTTACGTTTCTCCACTCGAATTTGTGTCCATGCTTTGTACACGCATATTGATATCAGTTATGGTATATGATGTTACATCATTGCTAATCTATGTTCTTTTATGAATAAATGAAGGAAACACTTACTTTGTATAGTAAGCGTAAACCATGTAACTATCATATGGTATAAAGAGTTATTCATATCTATTAAACATGAACAAGTGCTTACGGCCTAGGTTTGATTCCTACGTACGTGGTTGTGATTAATCACTTCTGAGTAATCTGTCATACTAGAATAAAACAACTATCTACAGCTTCCAGATTTTTCAGTGATAGTCTAACTTAGATCGATTTATTACTTAAATGAAACTCAATAGTATATTATTATGGCTATTAATCGCATAATCTATTTAGGCACGTTTCTGAATAGCATACAACCTTTATTTGTAGAAGTTACAAAAGAGTACAACCATAGATATCGTAATTGCTGGCAATATGCATTGAAATGAATGAACATTATTCACATATTGATTAGCTGAACTGCTTACATCTAACTGGCGACCACTTAATATTTATCGTTACGAATCAGCGAGACTATAACTTATGAACGAGCCAATCAGAAGTGTTTGAGTGATCTCAAGGTTACGACGCTAATGCCAGTACCTGATGCTCATGTACTATTGGTTTACAGCAGATTTTCGAGAAAACATGATAATTGAACGTCTAGAACAAATGGAACTATCAAGAAGTTCTTTTATTTGTAACCCTCGGGGATCAAATGACCGCTGTACCCTGTTCAGACTACCGTAATGAGATTCTCTTTCGATGTTATTTATGTTGGGTGAAGAAGTCTGCCTGAACAGGAAGTTTCTTCGCTTGATCCCGATTGAGACTAAAACAAATCATGATAATTAGTGTAAATCAGATAATAAAAGCATCAATAACACTGGATGCAACATTTGCAGACGTTACTGAAACTTCAGCTTTTCACTGGTATGAGTATTGTAGAGATATATATTCAATGTAAATGAAAAGGTTACACAAGTCGTTTGGAGAATCATTGTGCACCCTACAACAGGAGTGCACACTAACAATATTGAAGCTATGTGGTCAAGGCTAAACGAGTTCTTACAACCCTATCATGGCTCAAGAGGTTGACTATTATGAGATGAGTTCCTCTACCGTATGCACTACAATTTCAGAATCTCTGAACTTCTTTCAAACCTTGATAAGTTTTTAAACCATATGAACTAACTGTCTTCTGATTGGATAATATTTCTCAAAGTCACTTAAGATTCCTTCAAAAGTTATTCATAACTTGGAGTCTCGTAAAGGCATCTCCTTGAAATACCTTAAAATGAGAATTCTGTGTTGAATAAAGCTACTAATAACAGTAATAATAATAATAATTCCGTGGATTGGTTGAAGTTAGACATTAACACTGTTGGATGTCGGCCAACTCAGTGGTCCAGTAGGTTAAGCGTTCACGCGCGAGACTGAAGGCCCTTGATTCGGATCCCACGAGCAGGATGGTGAATGTACACTGCCACTGAGGAATCCCACAATAGGACAAAATGGCCATCCACTCCTTCCAGCTTTCCAACAGTAGTCTAACATCAATCAGTTCATGATCGCCTCTTTATTACATCACCTTAGTTTTTATCCGATTTTTTTCTTCCTCTTTTTTTTTATTTTATTCTCTATTACAGTTTATTGCTCTATTATCAATCACATGTATTATTCTTTCAATATTGGCTTATTGTATGGATACATCACCAATATTTTCTACACCATCTATTCGTACAGAATTAATTAATACAACAGATGATCATCCTATAGATACTACTACTACTAATACATTAGATAGTAGTATAAGTAGTATAACATCAAATCAACAACATCATTATAATAAACCTAAAACAACCATGTTCATGAATTATAAACAATCAATAAAAGCGAATTATTCATTACATCATAATTATACTATATTAATTAATAATAAACATTACAAAAAGAATATTCTATTTATTTATATAGAATGTATATGTAATATATGGTTTACGATTGAATTAATCATACGTTTTACCGTAACAATAAATCATAAAGAATTTGTAAAAAATTTAATTAATTTAATTGATATTGCTGCATTATTGAGTTTTTATATACAAGTTATCTTATTACATCATCATCCTCATCATCATGAAAGTAGTTACCATGGCAACTATGGTTACCATGGCAATGGTGGTGTTGGTGGTGGTGGTGTTGGTGTTGGTGATAATGATGATGTAACATTTGTATCCATTATTGAATTTTTTAGTATATTACGTGTCATGCGTTTATTTAAATTAACACGTCATATATCTGGTTTAAAAATATTAATATTAACATTTAAAGCAAGTGCTAAAGAATTTTCATTATTAATATTTTTTTTGGCTGTATTTATTGTATTATTTGCTGCATTAATATATTATGCTGAACGTTTAAGTACTAATCCACATAATGATTTTACATCGATACCAATTGGTTTATGGTGGGCTATTGTTACTATGACAACAGTTGGTTATGGTGATATGGTGCCTAGATCATATGCTGGTAAGTGAATGTTTTGTTTTTGTGTTATCTGAAAAATTTCATTATCAGAATTTGTATAGAAAAGAAAATTGTATTGATGAAACTATTTATTTATGGTTGATATTTGAGTGATAGTAACGTGATCTTTCGAATATCTATCTACTTACTAAGGCTAAATAAGGGTTATAAAGTAGTGTGAGGAATTAGGGTTGACATTACAAACTGACACCAGCTAAAATGCCAAAAACTCTTTTTAATCCAATGGATGGATGAATTTCGCACCAAAATCCAAGACATACTTACTTATATACTTACGCCTGGTTCCCACAATGGAGCATAGGTTGCCAACCAACATTCTCCGAACAACATTCTTTTGGACCTTCTTTTCTAGTTCTATCCAATTATTGTTCACTCTTCTCATATCTGTCTCCATTGTTTTTTGTGCTTGATGTTCTCATTTGGCCTTAAGGATTCCAAGTGATGAGGGCTTGCGTTGTGACGCAGTTGGGTGAGTTCCTCAATGTGTGTCCTATCCATTTCCAGTGCTTCTTCCTGATTTCTTCCTCCACTGGGATCTGATTCGTTCTCTCACACAGTAGGATGTTGCTGATAGTTTCTGGACAGTGGATCCGAAGTATTTTGCATAGACAGCTGTTAATAAACAGTTGTATCTTCTGAATGATAGTTTACGTAGTTCTCCATGTTTCCAAGACTTGTTATTGTAAATCTCATTGGCTCGTCTATAAATTCTAGTTCTTATCAGAGACATTATAATGGTTTTAATATGTAAAACAACTTACATACTTACTTACGCCTGTTACTCCTCGTGGAGGAACATAGGCCCCACATCAACATTCTCCATCCAACCCTGTCCTGGGTAATCCTTTCCAGTTAGCTCCAGTTACCATTCATCTTTTTTACGTCTGCTTCCAATTCCAGACTTAGTGTGTTGTTTGACCTTCCACTTTTCCGTTTCCATTCAGGATTTCAAGTTATTGCTTGCCTCATGATGCAATTTGATAATTTTCATAATGTATGTCCTATTCATTTCCATCGTCTTTCTCTAATTTCCTCTTCATTTGGAACTTGGTTTGTTCTCTGCCACAATAGGCTGTTCCTGATGATATCTAGCCAATAAATGTTGATTATCTTATATAGACAACAATTTATAAATATTGGAATCATTTTGATGATGGTTGTAATAGTTCACCATGTTTCAACTTTTTACAGTAGAATTGTCTTAACTCTGCCTTTAGCACTTTCTAGAGTTATTTCCGATCTCAAGCACGGATAAAGGTAAAATAAAGGTTTGGGTATATGGTTAGCAACCAAACACTAACTAGAAAAATATAATTCATTTAAAACAAATTCCATACATAAAATTTATGCCTTAGCAACAAATAAATCCAAGATATCAATAAATGAAAATGTATACTTATATCTAATGAGTATAGGTCAATTATCATTATAAACTAATATCAACTAAAAATAAAAAACAAATATCAAAAACCTTCTTTACATAAATCAATGAAAAAATGAATTTCGCGCGAAAAAATTTAAAATTTATTATCATTAATCTGATTGGTTGATTTACAGAATTCTGGTGTTACCGGTTAGAGGGGGAGGGAGAAATAATTTTTTTGGTTTTGATTTCATATTATTGATTAAATGTCAAATGTTAGTCAGTTTAGTTTCTTAGTTTTTCTTTTCTCTTTTTTTCTCTTTTTCTTTTAATCTGAAATGACTGTTGAATTTTTCTCCTATCAAAAACGGGGGGGGGGTGAAGAAAAGAAAACGATTTTCTTTTCTCTTTTTTTTTTATAAACAATAACCGATAAATTGATTTTTGTATTTTAGTTATTCTAAACAACAATAAACATATTCAATCAATTGTGGGTGCTCACTGCTGAGGAGTCCCATACTAGGATGAAACGGTTGTTCAGTGCTTCCAAGTTTTCCATGATGGTCTAGCTTTAATGGATTCATGATTTCAACTATTGAAAGTGATAAGAGTTTATAAAAATTATCCCATTGTATGATATTGAATAACTGTTAACTAGAACGTAACAATAATTGGTAATAATCATAGTTTAGTCAGAAAATAAGTGTGGAAATCTTCTGGAAATATATTAATTTTAATAGTTGAGATCATGAGTCAGTTGACGTTAGATCATCATGGAAAACCTGAAAGCACTGAACGAGAGTTTTGTTCTATTGTTGGTCTCCTTAGTGGCAGTGGCCTTGTGTGATTCGAATCCAGGACCTATCAGTCTCGCATGTTAAAGATAAGTGTTCAAATCCCTTTAGTACAGAATCGTGGATGTATACTTTTGAGAATTTTCACACTTCTATGATATTATACCCAATGATTATAATCGTTCTCATTAACTAAATAGTATAAATATAATATGAATATAACCAATTGACTTATAATCTCAACTATTCAATTTACTATAATATCCACAAAAAACACCTGATATTAATCAACATATGCTCAATAGTGACTGGCTTCAAGAGAAATTTCCTGAAGTTCTACTGAGAATCAGTGATCAGTGAAGTTCAATCGAGTCTGTTGTGAGATAGTAACACACTGAAGACAATGATGGATGTGTCGCTCAATTCCATGGATTAGTTGAAGTTAGACATTAACACCGTTGGATACTGGCTCATGCGCGAGACTGATAGATTCTAAGTTCGAATCTGACGAGGCGGGATCGTGGATGTGCACTGCTGAAAAATCTCATCCCAAAACGAAACGGTCGTCCAGTGCTTTCAGATTTTCCATGATGGTCTAGCTTCAATTGAATCATGATCTCAACTATTAAAATATAAATATTACTGTATATTAGAGTGAAGTCTAATGAGGTTCTAATCTAAAACAATATGGTTCACCTATTTATATGTTGCATGTATATTCAGTAAATAGGTTTTGAGAATACGATCACAGTTACCGATTCTTCTCTACTTGTATTTACTTCTATGGAATATCATTTCTGTTTTTTTAATTCTTTTTTTCTATGTTGCAACTAGGCCCAGATACATACATACATAGATACATAGATACAGGTATACATACATACACAGTTACATACATAGATACATACATACATACCGAACCATTAATTTTTCAACTTTGGTAAATGAATCAAAGACGAATAGGTAATAGAGTCAGTTATGTTGTATTTAGTTACTCTGTAAAAACAAAATACCCAATAGATATCCGACTAATATTAAGAATAATCAATATAACCTATGATTGTAATGTAGTATTAGTTGCTATGTCAAGTACACTTAACTTATTCTTGCTGTTGGACAGACTAATTTTATTCCTTCTTCTCAAACTACATTTCGACCTTGTCAATTATTCGCTTATACAACCTGACTACTATATATATATATATGTTGGTCACCTACTCTATTCATCATATGTCTGTAACTTATTATAGTCTAACTATAAATATTGATTAATGCTTGATTAAATCGAGTTGACTTACATACCTTCTCCCTTGTGTGTCATTTCATTTCATTTCGCTTTCACTGTTCTTCGTTTCGTTTCGTTTCGCTTTATCTTCTTTGTTTCCATCGTTGCTGTTCCTTTTGATTGTCTGTTCAGATTAATGAATGTACAAAATATACGTATTCATGAATTGATTCTCGTATTTGACATATTTAATTCTGCTATATTCACTAACGTGATTTAAATTGATGATTATATACGAGATGACTGGGATATGTATTACGTATGCTCAAGCACCGACTGCCTTGACATGCGATGTTTTATGATGTAGGTGTAGGATGGAAGAAAGCTACGTGCGGCCAAACCAATACGTGGAACAAATGCATGAAGTAACTGACAAGTGAAATGAGCCACGTCGGTAGATGTATACTACATGGTTGGGATCTGTGAGACGATAGCAACCGATGGTTAGCGACCATGAGTGTGACATGGTTCAAAATCGTTTGCAATGGCACAGGTACATCCACTCTTTGAGTTCTCCCAAATTCTAATCTTCTGAATTCTTCATGTACCTTATATTTTCTCTTTCCAAATTTATTTCATTGGATTATACTCCTTAAATAACAACTTCAAACCCTAATCTTTCCGATTACTGCTTATACTCTTACTACCTCTACCACTATGCGATTTGAATCGACAATTGTATCTGTGTGCGAATGTGGTATGTCAACTCGAATTGATATACATACGTACGAAGTTCTACGTTTTTACTGACTGACTGAATGAATATGATTACATATTGTCCTTTTTTTAACGAAAACAATGGAATGAATAATTGACTAATAAAAAACACTAAAATGTTGTCTGATTTCTTTCGTTCGGTTTTTTTCTAAGTAGATGTGAACTGCTGAAGTTGGGACAAAACGGCCGTTCAGTACTAGTAGGACCTTAGGTACTGTCTCAAGGTCAATAGTGTTATGTTGGAAGAAAACAATAAGAGATTTCGTTCTTCGGTTGAACTGTATTAGGTCTCGTATGATAGATCTGTAATTACAAGAAAAGAGCCTCATGATCCCTCTCTCTATCTCTCTCTCTAGTTCGATTATCTGTGGGTCCACCTACATCGAGTATGTACTAATTAACAAATTGATCAATGGACAACAACCAAATCTTTAAAGCGTTTTGTTTTTGGTCTTCGAACTACTTCTAACTTAGTAACCAATAATAAAACGAAAATAGAAAATAGATCAATTCTCTATTGTAGCCCCTAAATGCCCTGGTACGGCCGAGAGTGGAGAGATTCCACTCTCCCTCTCGAAATGCTCTCACATGGCCACGCGTATATAGCCTCTGCCAGGGAAGTCCTACTCACTGCCTTCTCGCACCACGGGTGTTGTTTACGAAAATGAGAGGACGAAAAGCGAATGTCCGGTGCTTTAACCGGATCGCAAACCAATGGTGCACATGGGCTCCAGTATCCTGAAGGAACAAATGGTGTATGAACCAATCGTTGGTCACCTGCTACCATGAGAATAAATCTCCTTACAATGCTCCACTGCCTTGTGGGTTAGACGTTCAGGTCGAAGGCTCGGGGTGTGGTCCCCTAAGAAAACCACCTGCTTCGGTTTGGGCACCCGGTCAGTATCACAGTCCTCACACAAATCAATTGGGATTCGTGTGGGGCATATGTATTTGGTGTTTCCCTGTACCAATACCTATGTGTTAAAATAAAATAAATAAAAAATAAATCTCTATTGTACTCAATACGTACATAACTCAAAAACCCAGACAATAACATTCTCAAAATATCTCATAACATAACAAAACAATCAAGTAATTACAATGTTAACATAACTTAGTCATAAGCAATACAAACCAGAGTAATAGGGAATGTATTAGTTAATGATTAATCTTAACCTTCTGCCTCCAGACATTTCATTTTCGATTAATGATATATACTACTTATATCTGTCCATATCAGTAGCACACATCACAATATGACAACGTTATATAGGTCAATTGAAGCTAGACCACCATGGGAAACCTGGAAGCACTGGACGGCCGTTTCGTTATAGTATGGGACTCCTCAGTAGTGCGCATCTGTTCTGAGATATCAGCTCACTGAAGACAATGATGACGGTGGCGCAATCACGTGGATTGGTTGGAGTTAAACATTAACACCAATGAATGCCGGCCAGCTCAGTGACCTAGAGGTTAAGCGCTCACGCGCGAGACTGATAGGTCCTAGGTTCGAATTTCGTGGGAGGCGGGGTCTTGGATGCGCACTGCCACTGAAGAGTCCCGTAATAGGACGAAACGGCCGTCTAGTGCTTCCAGATTTTCCATGGTAGTCTAGCTTTAATTGACTCGTGATTTCAACTATTGAAATTACTAAAATCCTCACAAAACCCCTTCTGATAATGTTATATGTATTAAAAAAAAACATAGAAATAAGAGTTCAGGAGTTTACTAATTGTACAATAAATATCTTATCAATAATCTTTCATATCAAAGACTCAAAAGTTATACTTCTATAGTTTCACTAACAGTTGGGTTCCTAATACTGGTTTCCTTGACAACTCTGAAAAGAGATGTCTGCTGTTGACTATTGCCGCTGCCTTTTCCATATCTCTTGCTTTCACTAATAACCACTGTTCACGATCATTGTATAGGCTTCTTATCAGTCTGCGCTTAAGCTGACTCCGCTCTTCGTCACGTTCACAGTCAGGCAAGATGAGTTTTCGAGTATCTATCAATCCGATAGATGCTGCTGAGATCCAGTGTTTCTCCCTAACCTAATGCTTTACCTTACTAGCAGATATCACTGCTGTTTCCATAGCTTTCCAGATATCATTCTACGCTGCCTCGGGGTGGGCGTCACTTAGATGGCTGTCTAACTGTTTTTCTAGATATTCCTGAAATAGCTTGACTATCATTAAGTAGGACCCTAAGGGGTTTCCTGGAACCATCTCTCCTACGTCCAGTAAGACGTAGACAAATACACGCTTGCGCACTCATGAATTAAAATGATTCATAAATTCTAAGTCGACATAGTAAGTTGATACACCATCGACGGACGTCATTTTGAAATTCTTCAATTGGTGTTTCTTTAAAATTTATTGGATGGAATTGGTATCTCAGTTGAACTTAACACTACAAAATAACTCTTATAAAGACTAGACTAAAATTAAAGCATAAAAATACTGATTTACCTCTTTCAAAATAATAACTAACTTCAAGTTATCAGCAAAGATGGATGGTAGCTAGTAGTGGAATACAGAATGTGTACTTCGTTCAATTTTGGACTCTTCAGCTGGATCTACCTGCATCTCTGGGACTCGAACCCAGCACCGTTCACATCAAGCGCCATCACATTATTCCCTTAGCTATTGAGTCTTGATAGACACGTGCTTGTGCAATGTTTAAATTCACTTGGTATTGTTTACTTGAACCTTATCGTTGATGTGTTAGAACTACAAGTGATCAGTTTCTTGTTGGAGTATGAGAATCCTGTGTGAGTTGCCTTAATTCACAAGCATTATAAACAGAAATGGGGATAATGGCTAGCAATGAAATCCAGGACACGTGTTCCATACCGATTGAGATTTGTCAGATGGATGTACCTCCATCCCTGAGTTGATGTTTATTCCAAGACTCGAACCCAGTATCGTTCACTTCAAACGCCATCGCGATATCTGCATGGGTATTAAGCTGACGAGTCCAATGTAGGACGAAATGTACGTTCTGGATTCCATCGCTAGTCATCTTCCATCTTTGTTTATAATGCATGTGAATTGAAGCAATATCGAAGCAATCTGTACAAGATTCATATATACTTATAACCGACTGATCAATTGTAGTCCTAACACATCAAGGGGGGGGGGTGATTTAGACTAACACTACAAACTGCATTTCACTTCTAGTTAGTTGATAAGTGACAAGAATCATCTTCTAGAGATAATAATCTTCAATTAGAATATAATCTTCTGTGTTCTAACTGACATTTAGCTAATGAATCTTAATTGACTAATAGAACTTTTTAAGTCAATTAGTCAAGAAAGATTGATCTGTTATGGTTATGAATAACAAAAGTCTACATTATTGATTAGTTAAACATTAAAAGGCATCTATAATAAAAAGTTATTGGTTGATAAGAAAATAGTTTTAATAATCCTATTTGTATTGTTTAACAGATATCTATGTAGCTATTGTGATGTATGCTACTGATATCGACAGATATAAGTAGTATATATCATCAATCGAAAATGAAATACCTGGCAACAGCAGGTTAAGAAAATCGAAGTAAAGAGAGCTAGAACCGTGAATGATTGCTATGCAAACCAAAGAATAAAGGAGTCTGAGATGATTGGTTGATATTTTGAAAATGAATTATTTATTGTGTGGCTTTTATATGTATTTAAATACATTTGACTATCAGATTAGATGATGGTTGGAGGTAGTCGACAGGAAACTCTGGACTCAGGTTTCGTGCTATTTGGCACTCGTCAGAAAGGTGTACCTGTAATCTTGAGGGAACTGATGCTTCCTGACGGATTCGATTCCGTATCACTCAGCTTCACAGTCAAAGACATTACTACTGAGCTATCACCTAGACTGGTAACTACATTGCAACATGGTCGATATCATTCAGTCTGCACTAAGAAGGACTTGACACACATGACATTGATCACCACCCAGTGATGAATCATTTGTGTGCATCCAACTGTCCTCTACTTCTGATCTCGTTCACTAAACTACCAGTCACTATTGACTAAAAGATCTTATACAAAGTTATTTATTGATCTTATACCATTTCATTATATTTATATATCATATATTGTCTATTGACATTCATATTATTTGATGAAGTAACCCCTCTTCTTTATAATATTCATCATTGTTTTCACTTTCAATAATGATAATTATTATATTCAATTCGATTTAATGAATGATCGATGATGGTTAATAATAAAATCCATGGCAACTATATCGAAAGAATCTGTGCAAGATATATATATATATATGTGCAGCAATTTGGAAAAGTCTCCCCCATTGTACGAGAATTTTATGTACCTAAATAAATGGTTGCTCTGGTTGCCAGAAGGGGCATCAGCCTCGTGACTTCCGAAGGAACTCGGCTTTCATCATAAGGCGTCATAACTCTTTTAAACGAAGACCTGACTTCCAGGGTAGAGTTTAAATGGTTTGAATAATTTTTTCTGATTACCGCTTTTTTAGCGAGTTAGCAGGATGGGGTCGTTAACTCCATGCCCAATCCTTCTCTTTTATCCGGGCTTGGGACCGGCAGTGGCCCCCAGAGGGACTCCAGGCGGAGTTATATATATATATATATATATATATATATATATATATATATATATAAATAGATATAGAGATACATATATATTAAACTGAATATTTTGATTTGTATTTTCTTTATCTGTTTTAGGTATGATTGTTGGTGCAATGTGTGCAGTAACTGGTGTTTTAACAATATCATTACCAGTACCAGTAATTGTATCAAATTTTTCAATGTTTTATTCACATACATTGGCTAGATCAAAATTACCAAAAAAACGTAGACGTATATTACCAGTAGAAGCAATTCGACCTAAACATAAATCAAATCAAATTGGATCTGGTACAAATCATGGATTAATACATCATAGTAGTGGTTATATAAATGATACAATGAATTTAAGTAATTTAGCTAAAGGAATTGTACCAAATATTCCACAACCTATTGCTAAAGCGAAATATTCAGGTAAACTATTGATTCACTAATAAGAGTTATGATTGAAAATGTAGTTTGATTACATAGTAACACTGTTGGATACCGGCTAATTCAATGGTCTACAGGTTAAGAGTTCATTCAAGAGATTAAAGGCTTTGGGTTCGAATCCTACGAAAGGGATCGTCGATGCTCAATGCCACTGAAGAGTTCTATAGTAGGACGAAATAACCATTCAGTACTTCAATGGTGGTTTGACATCAATCGATTCATGATCTCAATCAAAAACATAGTTTTACTTGGTATTGTTTTTGTTGTATCTTCCAATTGAGATTTAAGACTGCGATTGATCATTCTGTTATTGATTTATGTGCATACTGTGCGTATGCCTCGATATTGTCTTAATTCACAAACTTTTATGAGCAAAGATGGATAGTGGCTATCAGTGGAATCCTGTTTGACGCGCGTTTCTTTGTATTTGGGACTGGTCAGCTTGATGTACCTGCATCTCGGGGTTGATGTTCACTCCAGGACGTAGTTTATATGAATTTCTAAAAATTAATATTTATTTTACGAAAGTTAGTTTTGCCTAGTTTTAATTCCTCATCAATTTTATTTCATGAATAGTATACACGTTATTGTATTTATTTATTTGAACACCTAGATATTGGTACAAGAAGGCACCAAATACATATGCGACACACTTCTTCATTCGATTTGTTCGATGGCTGTGATACTGCCCGGGTGCCCAAACCGAACCAGGTAGTTTACCAAGGAGGCCACACACGGAGCCTTCGACTTAATGGTCTGATCCACAAGACAGTGGAGCATCGTAAGGAGATGCAGTCTTATTGTAGTCGGTGACAAACGATTGATTGATATACCATTTATTCCCTCAGGATACTGGAGACCATGTGCACCATTTTTTTGGAATGAGGGTTTTCCAACTCCCCTGGGTAGACTCTCTATGTCCACCAACCCGGTTAAGGCACCAGGTGTTCGCCTTTCATTCTCTCAATTTTGTAAACAACACCCGTGGTGCGAGAAGGCAGTGAGTAAGAATTCCCTGGCACAGGCTATATACGCGTGGTCATGTGAGAAAATTTTGAGAGGGACAGCGAACTCTCTCCACTCTCGGCCTCAGAAAGAAAAAATTTCTCAAAGTGTATATGGAGATAAGAATAATTAGTTTTGGTTTAGATATGATGCCTAGTTCAGAGAAATTGTATATAAAGAAGATTATAAGCGTAATAGATGGAGCTTAACATTGAGATCAGCAGACAATCAGTCCAGAAATTAACACTGACTGGATAATCATAAATTTGATTCTTGTTATATTTAGTATTCAGACTCTGAATATACCGCGTATAACCTGAGCAACTCGAAAGCTAGAACCCTTCAACTCGCAAATAAAAAAACAGAAGATAAGTGAAGGGAATCCTATTACGAAACAGTGGCAGTTATGATACGAAACTATCAGGTATATATCGTTTTTAGTAAAAACGAAATCAATATTATAGTCCTCCAATTCGCATACAGGGGGTTATTAGCATTTGTCCAATAGGTAACCTACACGTAAAGGTTCTGGAATTTTCTTCTAAAAGATGATTAGATGGAATATCCTCGGCTCTTTCTCAGATTCTTAGAGTTTCCTTGAGTTCGCCTGTGGGCCGTCCTCATAGTTATTGATCACAGCATCTGCTTAGATGATTCTAGAGTATTAAGATGACAAAGTAATTTCAGCCATAATTAAGCCAATCATTTGAAAGAATAAAATAACATTAGTTTGCAACTAATAACATTAAACGTATTAGATTGTTTCTTTAAATGATAAACAAAGGCGAATGTTCCAGTACAAACCATACGTTTACTGTTTCTAATAATAATCTTCAATTGTATAAACAAAAACTATGGAAAATGGATAATTCGTCTCAGTTTTGTGTTAGTGAGCAATTTTACAAACTCATAGCTACAATTTATACACTGAATTCCTTCTAAATATGTCAAAAATTGTCATCTTAATAACAGTAGTAAACTTGGGTCGAGTCTAAAAATTTCACTTTTATTTATATACTACTAAATTAATATTAAAGTAGACTAATTACAAAACGTTTCTTTTTTTACAGATAATTTTTCACATATTAAAGAAAATTATCAAAGTCGAAGAAAATTTTCTAATTCAAATGAATTCCCCATAAATGAACAATATAAATGTGCTTATGGTATACATACTAGACGTGCAGCATTGATACATGCATCAAATTCATCTTTGGAACAAATAGATGATGATAATGATTGTGAATCAATTAGTAAATCATTAAAATCTGAATTACAATTTACAGAGAGATCACGAAAAAGTTGTAAGTTAAAGTTATACTACTTAAATATTTGTATGACAAATTATTTAAGGATATAATGTACTTGAACTAGAAGTGAAGTTAAGAAACAACTTAAAATATTGACTGAATATACTACTCATTAACTGTGACATGTAATGTACATAACTGTAGCTGTCATCTTATAGAATTCAGTAGATAATAAACTAAATATCACAGTTTTAAACTAGACAGTGGACTGAGTGCCATTTTAAATTGCATGTTGGTCAAAGAATTTAATTGACATCTAATAAGACTGAAAAGTTCATACAGTCCACACGCAGGAATCGAGCGCAACACCTTCGGTTTTACGGGCGAATATTTAACCTCTAGATCACTGAGCCAGCATCCAATGGTGTTAATGTTTAGCTTCAACCAATTCGTGATATTGCACGACCATTCAACATTGTCTTCAGTGAGTAACTGCCTCTACGATAGACATGGTTGAACTCCACTGACCATAGCTTCATTGGTTACAATGAATGATCAATGAATAAAATTTAGTCTAAACACTTTAGGCAAAGATAATGAACTGAGAAAACTCTTAAATAAACTGCAAAAATATTTCATCCCAGTTAAATAATAATTTTTCTAGACATACTTACGCCTGTTAAAACTCATGGAGGAGCATGGGCCACCAACCAGCATTCTCCAAACAACTCTGTCATGGCCAATGCTTTCCAGTTCTTTCCAGATGTTATTCATCCTTTTTATGTCTGCTTACAATCCTCGGAGTAGGTTGTTCTTTAATCTTGATCTTTTTCATTCCCATTCAAGATTCGCGCTTTTGGCGCGAAAACAAAGAAATTCAAATTTTCAAAATAAAATTACAAAATCCGGACCTTTTTCAAGTGAGTTCTGAGGATTTAACGTCCCCAACCCATTATAGTATAACAACGATGTAAATAATAATCGATGAGCACTGCTGAGGAGTCACACAATAGGACGAAACGGCCTTTCAGTGCTTTCAGGTATTCCATGGCGGTTTAGCTTCAATCGACTCATTAACTATTAAGATTAAATACATGTTCTACAATGTTAATAGAATCAAAAGTTTATAAGGTTAAAAACTTGCGATTACATAATCAAACCTATACAAGATATTCAATGTCAGTTGGTCGGATACCATGAGAAACAACCTACTGTGGAAGAGAACAAACCAACTTACAATTGAGTAGGAAATCGGGAAACGACGTTTGAAGTCTATAGGATATACATTATAGAAATCATGAAATTGTATCACAAGGCAAGTGCTGACTTGGAATTCTGAAAATTGTAAGTAAATATAAAGATGATGGATAACAACTAGAAACAACTTAGAAGCATTGCCCTAGAATAGAGAGTTCAATAAAGGATGCTGACAGGCCGCCAGTGATCTTGCATGAAAGAATGAGATAAACTAATGTTTTAATGATTCAATAATGAAATATTTGAAGGAGTTTAGTGATTTTAGAAATTTCACTAGTTGAAATCATGAGCCAATCAAAGTTAGACCACCATGGAAAACCTAGAAGCACCGTACTGCCGTCTCGTCCTAGTATAGGACTCCTCAGTGGCAGTGAGCATCCACGATCCCGTTCCTCCCCGTGAGGTTCGAACCTGGGACCTATCAGTCTTGCGCGTGAGCGCTTGACCACTAGACCATTGAGCTGTACGTTATCCAACGGTGTTAATGTCTAACTTCAACCAATCCGCGAAATTGCGCCACCGTACATCACTGTCTTCAGTGAGTTGATATCTCACAACAGACCTGGTTGAACTCCACTGGTCAAGACTTGTCACTAGAACTTCAGGAAATGCCTCTTGAAGTCAGTCACTAGTGAACATATGTTAATGATTATCAGAAGGGGGTTTTGTGGAGATTTTAAATACTTCATGGTGGGTGGGGCGGGATCGTGGATGAGCACTGTCACTAAAGTGTCCCATACTAGGACGAAACGTCCGTTCAATGCTTCCAGGTTTTTCATGATGGTCTAGCTTCAATGGACTCATGATTTCAACTATTGAAACAAAATATCTGACATTAAATCAAAGTAAAATGAACAATTTCAAAAGATTATAGTCCACTGAACAGATTTCACCGAGTCCATTTAATCCCTTATATACAACAGAGATTTCTTAATTGAATTAAATTCCTATCGTTACATGACTGATTGATTGATTGATTGATTGATTGATTGATTGATTGATTGATTGATTGATTGATTGAAAGAATCATTAATCAAATTCTATTCTCGTTTTTTTTTTCCATTAGATAACAGCATGTTATTCAATTGATTGAATTCATATAGTTTAATGATATATAAAATGATTTTTATGTATTATGGTTAATCTATTAATGATTTACTTTAATGTTATATCCAGATGAGAATAGTGGATAGTAACTATTCATCGGCTAATACTATACATATATGTTTTTGTGTGTAGAGTTGCTAAGTGACTAAACTATCTGCATATTCATGTTCCTGATATCATAAGCTTCATTTTGATTTATGAACTGTTATTATACCATTTACCATTGTTGAATTAAGTCTGGTCTATCGGTTACTATCTGCACACATTCACAACCACATTCGGCTAATACTTGTATAAATGTGATTTCCCATTTTTTTGTGCGATGTGGTCTGTTTGACTAGTGTATATAAACCTGGTCTGTTTGAAATAAATGATTCATATTGCAGAGGCTGAAATTGGTGTTCTGGACTCTATAGACCAAGTTAAGCATCAAGAAGGATCGATAAGAACTTTAGACTGGTTGTACTTCTTTTATGTCAATAATTCACTGTTCTCTAATTACCGGTATCATTACATTATACATTAATAGGGGTATAAGGCCACAAGTTATAACATTCACAATATAAGAAGTCATGATTATTTTAGTTTTTAAATGGCATCTGTGAAACAGTTAGTGTCAATAGTAGTGAATGATTACATTACTATTATGTTACAAATGATAGTTAAGTTTAAAGTTGTACGATTGGACTCGAACCCTGTAGATCCGTTGATTGACTGTTTACTGAAAGATATGAAAGTCCTGCATTCAGTTAAACATATCTGTACGGAGACTATATTTATTTATTTACTTGAACACATAAATATTGGTACAAGGGGCACCAAATACATATGCGCCACACAAATCTCATTTGATTTGTGTGTCGGCTATGATACTGTCCGGGTGCCCAAACCGAAGCAGGTGGTTTTCTTAGGGGATCACACCGGAGCTTTCAATTTCAACGTCTGATCCACAGGAGAGTGTAGCAACGTCAGGAGATGCAGTCTCATAATAGTTGGTGATCAATAGCTGGTTCATACTCCATTTGTTCGTTAGGGATCATGGAACTCATGTGCACCATTAGTTTGGAATGAGGGTTTTTTTTAACTCCCCTAGATAGATCCTCTATATCCTCCAATCGTGTTACCGAACCGGATATTCGCTTTTCGTCCTGTCAAATTCGTAAATAACACTTCCCCAGCGAGACGGCAGTGAGTAGGACTTCCCTGATAAGTGATTGTATACGCATGGCCATATGAGAGCATTTGGAGAGGGAGAGTTAACTCTCCCCACTCTCTGACGTACTAGAACATTTCAGAGCTATTATTCATCCATATTCCATGAGTCCATCTGTTTCACCGCATTATTCTTATTATCTGTTTAGGTAACACCAGATATAACTGATTCACATAATCATTTGTTCATAAGAAGTTGGTCAATTGTCAAACCATCATTCTCAAATTTATATCATCAATACTTTACATTTTCCTTTTTTTTCTTCTTCTTCTTCTTATTATTATTATTTAGCTACAGTAAACTCTAGTGGACATCATATCAATTCAATGAATCCATTAAGACGAACTATAGATAAATCAAGTCATTTATCATGTCTTACAGAATATCAATCGAATCATAAACCTTCTTCAATTCTACAATATGAAACCCCACATCACCACCAACATCAACACCACCACCATCAACAACAACAACAATGTGATTCCTTAGCAACTCATAGTAGTAAAACAGATTTATATCTTTCATCTATTACATGTAATTCTGAATTATTACCTCATTCACCATCTATGTTTGATGAACAATTAAATATACAAAATAATGATACTACTAACAGTACTACTACTACTAATACTAATACTACTAATAATATATCAGATATGATAACATATAGTACTCATAGTTCTACAAAGAGGATGCATTTATTACCAAGTCCATGGATCGGTACATCATCATCCATTGATCAAACCAATGAACAAGATGATATTATGAATTGAACATAAAGAAGAAGATTTCAATTGATGAACAATATGAAAAAGCCTTCCAATTTAATCAATAATCATAATACATATATACATATATATCTATATATACTTGTTACTGATCTCATTTACATTAGTAATCAGTGATATAAATCTTTATTTATGTATAAATCTTTATATAATATTCATTGTATAGTTAGGTAGGTAGGTAGGTAGGTGGGTGGGTGGGTGGTTGAGTGAGTGAGTGGGGGTACTTATTTTAATTGTAACCATGCATATTTTACATAAAAATATTACAATCCCAAGAAAATAGGAACAGTTATCACTAATGAAAAAAATTGATTTTTAATGGGATACTTCATTTGTTGTCATTTGTATTGCCTATAATTTTCAATAAGATTGTCATATATGGAGAGTTGTTTTTTACTTACTTACATACTTACCGCCTGTTACCCCCCCCATGGGAGCATAGGAAACCGACCAACATTCTAAAACACACTCTCTTGTGGGTCTTCCTTTCTAGTTATATCCAATGGTTGCTCATTATTCTCATTTCTGTCTCCATTTCTCGACGTAATGTGTTCTTTGGTTTTCCTCTTCTACTTTGGCCTTCAGGATTTCAAGTGATGAGTGATTGTGTTGTGATGCATTTGGGTGCTTTCCTCAATGTGTATCCTATCCGATTCCAGCTCTTCTTCCTGATTTCTTCCTCCGCTTGGATCTGGTTTGTTCTTTCTCATAGTAGGTTGTTGCTGATAGTGTGTGACCAACGGATCCGATTTCAAGTAGACAACTGTTAATAAACACTTATATCTTGTGGATGATGGTTTTCGTAGTTCTCCAAGTTTCCACCCCATACAGTAGAACTGTCTTGATATTTGTATTAAAAATTCTGACCTTAGTGTTGGTTGACAGTTAATTGATTATTAGTAGTAATGAGTTGTAGAAATTGCTTAGCTTCATTCAAATCATGAGTTGGTCTAGGTTAGATCACTATTGAAAACCTGAAAGTGTTGGACAGTCGTTTAGTTCTCATATGGTTCATGATTTCTATGAAATTTCTGAGATTCTAGTAACAAGCTTTGACTACTGAAGTTGAACTGAATCAGATTGCACAAAGTTGTAAACCGGTTGAGGTTAGATATAGTTGGATGTTGGCTCAATAGTTTAAACGTCAAGCATTCCTGTGTGAAACTGAAGATCTTTAGTTCTATTTACGTGTGTAGGGTCGTGGATGTTGATTGATATAAAGTCCTACACTAGGATGAAATAATCATCCAGTACTTTTAGGTTTTTAATGATGACCTAACATAGATCGATTTATGATTTCAAGGACATTATTATTAATGATAGTTGCTTCATTCACTATTATATGTTCAGTACAATATGAGATCCTCAACACAAAGTACTTGAAAAATTTTCCTTCTCTAAACAAAGCAATAATTGCAAGCTTTAACTTGGGATCTTGAAGGGAAGTAAAAAAGAGGAAGGCCAAAAGAACACATTACGTCGGGAATCGAAAGTAGATATGAAAAGGATGAATAACAACAACTGAAAAGAACTGGAAAGGATTGCTCAGGACAGAGATGGATGGAGAGTGTTGGTGGGCAGCCTATGCTCCCCCCCCCAAGAGGAGTAACAGGCGTAATTAAGCAAGTAACAACTTTCAACCAGCAACATGTTTAAGAATACAAGTTACTGACTAAGTCAGTTCTAACAATTTGTTCATCACATATTTTATTTGCTAGATAAGCTATCGTAAGGTTTTTACACCGACAGTAGCCCCCGGAGGGACTCCAAGCGTGGTTATAGAATAATAGATAAAATCAGTCAAATGAAAAAAAACTTACTTTGATATGAGTAAAATATGAGAAAACCAAAAGAGATCAGAGGAAAAACTTACATATACAGTGAAATCATCCGAATATTTAACAAAAGTGTTTTCTATGGAAGATGACAGATCACGTAGATAGAACAGAATGGAAAAGAGAAAAGAACAGCTCCTTATGGTACACTTTCATGAATTAATAGAAGCGTTGAACACTTGACTCAAACACAAAGTGTACTGTTCTCTTCTAGAGAAGTAGAAACACTGCTCATTAGTTATCTAGCTACTAATGTTGACGCTAATAAACTTGTTAAGTAATTGTTGTCATACAATAGAGTCAAAAAGCAGAAATATAATCTAAACATGTGCATTGAAAGTACTTCTTGCCCTGGAACCGGGTTTCGTGCTATCTGGCACTCGTCAGCAGGGTGTACCTGTTATCTTGAGGGAACTGGTGGTCCCTGGCGGATTCGATCCCGTGTCACCCAGCTTCACAGTCAGAGACGTTACCACTGAGCTATCCCTTAAAGATTACAGGTACACCTTGCTGACGAGTGCCAAATGGCACGTAACCCGGGTCCAGGGTTTCCTGTCGATTACCTCCAACCACCATCTAATCTCACAATAGTGCCAGCAGTGTCGAGTCACCTAGACTGGTGGCCACATTGCAACATGGTCGATAGTATTCGATCTTCACTAATAAGGATTAGACACGCATGACATAGATCATCACCCAGTGATCAATCAATTGTGAATACCAAGTGAATTTAAACTTCATCCCATTGCAGTGAACATCAACTCTGAGATGCAGGTACATCCAACTGACAAGTCCCAAATAGGATGAAACACGCTTCCTGGATTCCACTACTAGCTACTATCCTCATCTTTGCTTAAATTGCTTGTGACTTTAGGCAATATCGCGGAAATCCATTCAGGATACACATATACCAACAAGAGACTGATCAATTGTAGACTAAAGCAACAATGGGAGGATTCAAGTGAATCTATTATGATTTTGATTGTACTAAGGAAAAATTCTGTACTACTTCCTGTATACTATTTAAACTTGTGTTTATCTAATGCCAGTTATTTATTTACCCTGAAGAGGCGCATTACATCAAGTGACGAAACATTAGAAATACAATTTTTCTACTCATAGGGATATAATAAAAGTACATATTTATTATTGTTGCTACCACTTTAATGGGATTTCAAAGAATATATTGATTTATATCAGTTTGCTTAGAAACAAAAAAGACGTATCTTACATGTTGTTATTGTTCTGCATTATAATAAAGCGTTCAGATTGGTAAAGGGTAAGAAGTATTCACAATCGATTGATCACTGGGTGGTGACCAATGTCATGCGTGTCTAGTCCTTATTATTAGTGCAGATCGAATGCTATCGATCATGTTACAATGTGGTACACTATGCTGACGAGTGTCAAGTAGCACGAAACCCGGGTCCAGGGTTTCCTGTCGACTACCTCCAACCACAATCGTAATTTATCTAGATTCTACATTCCTTTAAAGAGTAGAGTCTAGATTGACTATAGCCGAATTAATAGTTTATTGTATAGTTGCTCTCAAGTTTTTGTAGAGTAAATCTCAGTTAAATGAATTCCGACCTTAATTTATCCTTAATGCAAACACTGTGAAGTAAAAAAACCTACAGTATTCTATATTGTACATTAAAATACATTACTCGTTGTTATTGAAGCTATGAAGTATGTTACGAAGAAGTCAATGAAGCTTGGAAGTCTATTGGAAGACCTGTTATGAGAAGGACAGTTTATGGGAACACCCAAGTTTTAAGTTCATCACAATGAGAAACTTAAATAACATGTGGTGGTCGGTGGTTACCGAGACAAACTGTATACGGAGTTTAAGGAATATATCGAACACCGACCACCACAAAAATCTTACCGTTGATGGTAGAGTCTCGGTGAAGAAAAAGATTACCAAAATCAATCCATTCACATTAACCAGTGTTAAGTTTTGACTTTCATTTTGAGCACAACTGTGCTATCATAATGAGCTCTAAAATGATACCGTTTTGTGTATGGTTTAACTTATGATTCGACAATGAATACACTACTTAAGAGCATTTAAATATCGAAAAAGTTTAACCACATCAAAGTAATTTCAAATATCATTTATACAGACTATAAAGTGTAAAGATCCTGAAACACTAGCTTGTATCATCTGAATTGCGTCAAGCGATGGTGTGCGAGACTGATAGGTCCAGGGTTCGAATCTCACAAGGCGGGGTCGTGAATGAGCACTGACACTGAGGAGTCCTACAATAGGACAAAATGGCTGTTCATTCGCTTACAGTTTTTTCATGTTGGTCTAGCTTCAATTGATTCATGATCTTAACTATTGAAATTACTGCAATCTCCACGAAACACCTTCGGATACTACTCAAATAAGGATAAAAATTATATTTATGTTGATAAGTAATATTTTAGTGGCTCTCTATATATATGACTTCAACCAGTTTATACGAATGTTATTGCGATATACATATCATCAATCCTCGTATATAATCAACGACTTAATCCGCGTTAGTGAATCACGGGAATGAAGATTTGAATACGTATATTTTGTACATTTGTTGATCGGAACAGACCATCAGAGAATCACAGCGATTGAAGCGAAACAGATAGAGCGAAGCGAAACAGATAGAGCGAAGCGAAACAAAAGGACGTGAAGTGAAGAAAGCATGTAAGCCAACTCCATTTAACCAAGCGTTAATCAATATTTATAGTCACACAACAATAAGCTACAGACATGTGATGAATAGGATAAGAAGGGTACATACACATACGCCCACATGAAAACAATCAGGGTTGATAAGTGAATAATTAACAAGGTCAAAATGTAATTCAAGAAGAATGAATGAATTGACCAGTTTAGAAGCTAGAATAGGGTATATAAGCTTCACATAATAACCAACAAACACTACAATATAAATACATTTAGACAGATGAATGAATCATCAGTATAAAAGTTTGTCGAAATGATTCAATTCTAATGAATTCACAAACGAATCAAAGTTAAATATCAGAAAGGATTTGACAGCTATTTCATTCTAGTATGAAACTCCTCAACATTTGTTATAACTTGTGGCCTGTGTGTCCTGTTAATGTATAACGTGATGATACCGCCAATGAGAGAGCAGTGAATTATCGATCGGACCAGTGACACATAAACTTGTACGAGAAGTTTACAGTCCTTATCTGTTCTTCTGCCTGCCTGTTAAGTCCAAAACACCAATTTCAGCCTCTGTGATATGAATCCTATACTTCAACCAATACTGGTTTTATATACCAACCAGATAGACCACATCGTACCATGAAATAGGAAACAATATTTGTACAAGATTTAGGCAAATGTGGCTGTGAATGTGAGAGGTAATGATTAGTAGACAGGGTATAATTCAAGAATGGTAAATCGTATGATAATGGTTAATATATCAATATAAAGCTCATAATAAGAGGAACGTGAATATGAATAGTTTAGTTATTTAATAATTATACGATAAAAATATACGCATAGTATTAGTCCATAAATGGACCCCCAA